CTGTCACTTCATCATTTCCCAACATACAAAGTCATGCTTTTTGTTATCAACAAAAACATGGATAACCCTTCACATCCATTATATCAAGATCTTATCAAATGTGTTTCCTCCTCTTCCACCCGGTCCCGTTATAAGTGTATATTTGCTCGTACGACCGCTTATCGGTCTTCTGGGGTGCCCTATCTTGCCCGTTTTCTTGTCAGCGCAGAAAGCATTGCTTCGGAACTTTACTCAGTTATCTCGTAAATTGTTTTTATTTTCAATGCTAACGATAATTATGTCATAATTTTGTTCGATAATTGTTAGATGACTATGTGACTGCTGAATATCCACCTTTCGGGGTGCATAACGCAAATACTTGACTTGACTTGATTTGATGTTACCTGGCTTTGCCCTATCTATCCTGATCCGATAGTTTGTTGTCCACCGAACATATTGCACACACAATCATTCACTAACAGCCTAAGGGAATAAAGCGTGGTATGGCTGACGACGGATGGGCATACGCAATACGTACCCTAGCCAGCGAAGCCTACCAGTCTGAATCCGATAAGCTAGAAGGTTTATCCCTGATAAACACCCAAACACATGACGGCTTACCTTCAGGATACTCGTTCGCTCCATGCCGCTCGGGCTAAACTACGTCAACACCGATAATCGAAATACGTCTACGAAAAATGGAATCGCGAACTAGAGTACTCTTGACGAACGCCGCTGCTGGTGACGAACCGCCTAATTAGTTCGTTGTAGTCCCTTACTCAACCTGAGGTGAGTATTGCTAACTCAGCAAATTAGCGTACTTCTGGGGCATTCCTTTAGGAAGAAGGGAACCTATCTGAGCGTGGCGATAAACTTAGTCGAATGCTCCTTTGTGGTCAGTGCTATTCGATTACAATCAAAAAGGCTCATCAAATACCAGAAGCAATGAGCTTAGTGTATAATGCAGAGAAAAGGAAATGATTGTTGCTATTGGCATGGTGGATTGAAAATGTAAATCAGCCAGGGAATGACAGAAAAAATATGATTTCTGTTAGCCAGTGAATAGGTTCGAATTCGTATTCAGGTGAAATACTGTTACTTCTTTCACCATTGTTACCACTGTTAAGTATCTTGTCAAGTGTGCATTTC